GCCCCGTCTTGCTGACGCTAGCCGTTGAGTACATCAGTTCGATTCTCATTGTGACGATATTATTAAAACTGAACGGAAAGTTCAACATGCCTTACATTTTTCGTACACATCTTAAAATTTGCTGCAGATTTTCTACTTGTCACCATTTTTTGTAGTATGTGCAACTCCTGTATACATTTTTTTTATATGTCAAGGTGGCAAACGAGCAAGCCTGAATGCGCCAAAATAGCAAAGCGACCACTGCCCATAGACTTCGGTAACAGCGGATATGTTGCCTACCCGTAATCGTCGGAGGAGGAGACGCACATAAATAGGACATTTCTTCCAATACGTCTCCTGCACCGTTAAATCCACGTTCCCTTCCCATTCTTTACGTATAAGAAAAGGGATGGAAAGGAAAAGGGACTAAAGTTGGACTTCCGGCACCACACTCATCAGACGAAACGCGGAATTGCTTCCATTTCACGCCTGTCTTCTGTGTGGTTGTTTCACTGACCGAGGCAAACCATTCGTGCAAAGATTTTAAAGCGGTCTCTACCACTGTTAGTGTACTAGCTCTACCACGTGTAGTACAGTTAACTGGTATGCTTGTGATTTCAAAACCATCGTGCAAGACCCAGTGTGTGTTGCTTGCATTACCAGCTACATATAATGTTATGGTCAACTGATCTAAATTTCTTTGTGTCATTAGTTTTGATTTGATGAAGTTACTACTTACTATTGTTAAGAAGAAAATTAGTACCGTGCTGTAGAATTGGCGCAACACTAGATTATCGACATAAACGTCACGTCCCTAGTTGACAGCTGTCAACGTCATTAGAAAGATGGAGATATTGGCGCGCATTCCTGGCGAGTCTCTAGTCGAGTATTGAAATTAATATGCCGAGTTACAATTATATTAATTGTTTAAAATTATGCGAGATTCTAAACATGAGGACATCAGTTGGTAATCACATGATAATGTAGAGTACATTTGTAAAGAAATCAACAGCCTTGCGATATTTCCTATGCAATTAAACCAGTTAAAGACCCATTCATTGGGTACAATCGAGACTGTTGCACTGTTGCTGGAATACATCTTTAATCCTCGTGCGCTAAGGTTGATATTCCATTGCATAATTAAGAAGAAAAGATTGGTGTAATGTTTATTATAGTTATCAATTCGATTGGCGTGGTCCTAAGTGGTCCTAATTTAAACGTTCAGAGCTGGATGCGGGTCATGGTCGTTGTGTTTTTGATTTCTTTTTAAATATACGTAAATATAGAAATACTTCTCATTGAATGTATTTGATGCTCCTTAGATGAAAATAATGTCACGTTAAAACCCAAACAATCTTACCGTTTATGCTACAGGGTGTTACAATAGAATAAAAATTTATAGTAATATGGATGAAAATAAATACACCCTATTGTTAGGCGGTAAAATAATTATCTATTTGGTTTATTTGGTATGTTTATTCCTAAAGGCGGGCAACCCTGGGGGCATAAGAGAAGTGGGTCAGGGCATAAATTCAAGGTCTGTACTGTGTGCCGCGCCGTGGGCGATAATTGACCGCCCAAGCTCGATCCCGATTTCTTTTTAAATATTTTTTATTTGGTATTTCCTGCCAGTACTCCGGAATATAAAAATGCACGCTTTTTTGGCGCGAAATTGACAAATTCGAAATTCGAAAGACATATATTCGAAATTTGAAAGATTCAGTTGTTTTTCGGTTTCTATTATATTAACTGAATTTAGAGACAATGTTAAAGTCCTTTGTGATTGTAAAAAAAATGTTTTTTGCTTGTTAGTTTTTCAGAATATAGACATTGCAAAGATAAGACTTGGGATTAAAATATATAAAAAATTAGGTATCGTATCCTTTGCTTGATAATGTGTACTATATAGATA